AAAGAGAGGAAAAGGAGGCAACGTTTCAAATTTTTCTCCTAGTGGAGAAAAAAAATCCAGTAGTTGTTAGGTAGGTCCCCATTAGAATAGCAGGAACACAATTTAGTCTTGGCTATTTTTTTTTCCTGGAAATGACAACAGCAGTGGTAGCAATGGTGCTTATCATTCTGAATATGCTGTGTACCCTTCACAAGGAATTCAGCTAATATGAGTCCATTCCCCCCCCCCACATAAATAGGCAAAAATGATAGAAAGTTTCACTATTCTCTGGAAGAAGGAAGGAAGGCATCTTGTGATCAATTTAAGTCTGGCTTTACATTTCTTTCCTGACAAAGGAACAGTTGGGTAGGCTGCTTTAATGAGTCTTCATATAGATTGTCTAAAGGAGAATTTAACTTGACTCAGAATCACACAATGATGCTGCCCATATTTGTCTGAACAAATATGGATTGGATTACTTGGATTGTCAGTTGTTCACACTTGTCTAAATCTAGCTTTTTCTTCTTTTTCATCTGCAGTCCAAAGGCTCCCGGGATTATCCTTGCCATAAGATTCCGTAGATCCTTCATTTAAGCTCAGAGACAAGTGTGTGATTTTAAAGAGAGGAACCAATATCAGATCCCCCGTGACTGGATTTCCCTGCCAGATTTCACAGGTTGTCCTTTTTGCAATGGGGAATTTCCAATGTGATGAAACTTCAGAAGAGGCTAGACAGGAGGGCGATTTAACCTGAAGCCTCCAAAACAATCCAAGAGTCGTTCTTACCCTTAAACTATGGAGAAATTCAAACAAACTGTTGAGTGCTTCTAAATATATTTATGGCCATTGTTCAAAACAAAAGGAAGGCCAATGATTGTGAGAGCTGCAATGTTAGCTTAGATTGTTCCTAGACAATGTTCTATAAAACTAAAAAAGCTCTGTATTATAAATCAGTTGAGCTCCATTGTCTTTCCAGCTTCTTCCAAGACATGTCATCTTCGACATGGTGGGTTCCCCCCCCCCTTTTCTCCCAGCAAAAGCCACTGTGGCAAAACCTTTTTTGCCTTTTTATTTTTAAACCCCAAAGTGCCACTCGTGCTTGTTTTTTCCCTTGTTACCATGGTATCACAGGCTGAACTGTTTGTTATGATTGTGCTCTCAGATTGTGTGTGTACATGCATGTGCACGCATGCAGATATATAAAAGGACTTTTGAGTTGCTTGAGTTTGGGGTAACAAGGGCCGGTTCTAAGCTTGCCATTGTTGTGTTGTTCCTGCAGCAGTTGCCAAAGACAGCAAGATCTTGCAGATTGAAAAGCAAAGTGAGAGGCAGGATACCGATGGGGCTGTTGTGAGCGTAGGCTGTCAAGAAAGGCAAAGAACAGGCGACTGGGCCCTAAAGCAGAGGAGGGGAAATATTAATAGCAGAGTTTGTGGAAAGTTTGTCTATATGAGTATGAGAGAGAGAAACAGAGAGAGAGAATGCATCACGTGGTTAGGAAGGGCAACAGACTTATAGCCAGGTAGACCATAATTAAGTCTTGTTGGAAGAATTGGGACTTGATGTAAAAAGAAAAGAAAAGAAAAACACCTCTTAGTGTATCTTCTGATGGATCCCTCCTGGAACAAGTGAGGCTCTGATCACCTCAGACTGTGCTTCTTGGTTGTCATGATATGAAGCAGAATGAAGGTTCTGACCCATGGACACAACCCCAAGGGCCTAGGCCTCACTGACATTGTCTGCCTTGTAGCGTAAACAAAAGTCATCAGCAGTGGTGGTCATGATTTAATTTTTAGTTTCCTTGCTTAATGGTTTTCCAGGAGCCCCCTTGATGATGAAAAAGTGTGTTGCTTCTTCATGCATTTGGTGAGGAAATTGCTTAAATGTGACATGCAACATACAGATTCCGTTTGCTTTTTCTGCTGAGTGGGACCCTGGACTTCACCCCCAAAGTTCTGCTTTAAAAGCACCATTAATCCTTAGAGATGCTGTGCTGGGTTGGGGCTTCCTGCTTCCCACAATGGCCCACTAGATGTCTTCTAGAAGCCTGGGAGTAATATATGAAATCAGTAGTTCTCTCTTACACTGTTGCCCTTCTGGTTGTTGATACAGAGAAACACAACATTTCTCAGTATGGGAATTCCGCTTTGGCAATTTTTGCTTAATCATCTCATGACCTCCTTCATGCAATTTTCATTTCACTACTTCCCTTTCTCTGCTTCCCTGCAGGCAGACTCCTAGAGAGCAAGAATGTATGGTTTTGTGTGTGTGTGTGTGTGTGTGTTCATGTGTGCACATGGACTTATATGTAATCTGCTAGCATTATTTCTGTTTTCACGCTTGGCAGAAGGAAACATCACCTGTAGATCTGGCAGTGCCATCTATATTGTTCATCGTATGTGTCCACACTGCCATATTTAGTTCATCAGTAGCAAATGGCTTCCTGGCCTTTTTCCTGCCATCTTGACAGTATATATTTTAAGTAGTGAGCAATCTTTCAATAGCTGCCCTACATAAGCCCCATTGAAAGGAATGAGTCATACAAGTTTGAGTCACAATTAAGTGCTTCTGCTAAAGCCAGCCTTGTAACATCTTGAAAAGGTTGCTGTCCTCCTTTTCAATATGGAGAAAGTAGACTTGGTTCGTTGACTTTAGCAATCTGACTTGCAGACCATTAACTCTCTTGTGTTGGCTGACATCTATGTAATATTCAATTATGCATCTGTGAATAACTCAAAAATCAGTTTACATCGCCATCATAATCCCCCATCCCCAAAAGTAATTGAATACTGTGAGCAAAATGCAGTCACCATCTTTAGCCTCAGCAGTCTTTACTCCCGCATTTCATCTCCTGTCACTGGTCTTTTAACGTAGCCTTTCCGTTGAGTTACAAAGGCTGTTAAATATGAAGCGTGTTTTAAAATGACCCCCATCATAAGATAATATATTTGCTGGGAGATTTTGCTCTCCAAATGATGCTCCTCAGCCTCTGTTTAATAATAGCATTCAAGATTTGAATTCAGGGCCATAGAGAAAACCCAAAATCAGTCAAATAAATGACGGGTGAAACAAGATTACAAAGTGGATGATGTGCAAGAAAGAGAAATGACACAATACTATAATTTCTTTATACATATTTCTAGAAGCAGTTTCCTCCTATGAATCAAGGTTACATTAAGTGTGCACTGGCAAATACTTTGCATTTGCAGAAATGCCCAGTGGGACTTTGAATTTGGAAGGTTCAAACCTTCAAACCTGAGGACTTTGGAGGGAGGTGGACCGAAGCATTAGTACTTGAGATGCTGACATTGTGGACTGTTTGATTGTATGGATGGATGGATGGATGGATGGATGGATGGATGGATGGATGATAGATATGGATTTTAAACAGATATTTAGTCTACCTAAAGTCTTGGTAATACCTGTGAAAAGCAGAATTAGGAATGGTATATTGATAGTCTAAGTAATTGGTTTGATTAAATGTTGTAGTCAATGCAGTATATAGTGTAATCATTAGTGATTGGAAACTGTCTCTTTGCAGCTTTCTGATTGCCACTTTTGCTTATGCATCAGCTTGAGATTGTGACATACATCCCACAAGGTTCAGTGAAATTTCTCCCTGAGGTCTGTGGGTGGAACTGTGAGCTGGAGCTAATTTGAGTGTATAACATGGAAATATCCTTGAGGAATTTCAGTGTTTGATGAAGTCAAAGCTAATTGAAAGCATGTGAAGGCAACCAAGGTGCTTTTTTCTAATGGCCTAATCTTCATACCTGTTTGATCATTCTGTTGGGAAGGGTCCTGCAACAATCATCTCATTTATTTTATTTATTATTATTTATTTATTTATTAAATTTTCCAACCTCCCCATCATGCACACGTGTCATATGCAACTTGGTTAATATGGCAAATTGCAGATAATCAACAGACTACCGATTCAGTGATAGATTTCAGATTTGTGTTAGATGTTTAATTTTGTCCATAGGAGAAGGTAGGATATATGAGTTCCCCAAAGCCTAGCTCAATGCATTGTCTTTCAGCAATGCTTACTGTAGATCAGTACAGTTTGAAATACAAGCATACAACCACTCTGATCAAGGATTGTGGTCTTGTGGTCTAAAGAGTAGAAGATCCTTTGCAGCAGTTTAAGAGAATTCATCAAATTACCATATAGGAATGGTGGATTGTAGTTGGATTAACCGCCTTGGATTAATCCAAGGTGGTTAAAGCTGGGATCCAGAAATTGTTGTCTATCATCATATGCCCTGGCACTTTAAGAGGTTTTCTCGTTGTAATGAAAAAGTAAGGAAGACTAGAAGAGTTGAACGAACTTGCAAATAAATGAGAACCAGATACTGACAGTGACTGAAGAACTGAAGCTTTGAGACAATCAACAAAGAATAGTGCCAGAGGGGCTGTGATACAAGAGTTTGAAGCTGTGTTAACTCTGAAGTAATTGATACTCCTTTCTTTGGAAAATCTCCAGAATGGATCTGAGGGTTAAGGTTATATTCTGAATGCAGCCATTGGTTCTACGTAAAGTGCTGGTTCTTTTTTCTTTGGGATAACTGAGGCACTGACTTCCAGAACCACCTGCTCGCAGCCAAACTTCAAAAAGTGGAAAGGCGAGAAAAGGGATAGAGATCTTAGAAATTAGGCAACTTTGAGAAGGCTCCTTTGCAGATTATAATCCCTGCTTCTTTCTTTCTTTCTTTCTTTCTTTCTTTCTTTCTTTCTTTCTTTCTTTCTTTCTTTCTTTCTTTCTTTCTTT